AAATTATGGGGTCAGTGCAGTTTGCTAGGACTAATTAGTACTGGTGCATTATGGGAAGAGAAAACAGGGTTAATGTTATTTGCTGTTGGACCCAATTTATAAGTGAGTATATATCGTAATGTATTCTATGTAAATGTCTTGAATGTTCAAAATGTGACATATTTCTTTTTATGTTAAACCTATACACCTTTGATTTTGCATTCAGTATTAATGTGTTTCCTTTATATCAGTATTTTTCTGTTCATCTTTTCATAGGCATTGTGAGTTATGCCATTCCGTTTATTTTTGGGAAAAGTTTACTAGTAGGTAACAACACTTATATTCCTTTTGACTAATGAAACAATAACTTAAAATTAGGCAATGGAATTTGAGTTTCATCACTTCTATGGTACATTTCATCCTGGTTTATTTTTTGTTCCTTCTCCACCTTTTGAATGTCTTATCAACTTCAAAAATGTTAGAATGGATTGAAATCAGTCTTTACTCAGCTAGGTCATATAAAAATAGTTGTTACCACTAGATGATTATTGTCACCCCAGTTTAATTTAGGTACCTAAATTAGTTGACCTCTTTTAACTGAAGAGTGACATATTGATTGATATCAAATTTAACAGCAACTTATTGAAAGGTATCACACAATATGGTATTCCACACTGGAGAAGGTATTGCATGGTATTGTATATCACACTGTATAAGTTATTGCATGGTATTGTATATCACACTGTATAAGTTATTGCATGATATTGATGCTGCAATGCAGAAGATATCAAATAGTACTATATGCCAAACTGCAGAGGGTATCCCATGTTATTGGTTGCCCCATTGCACAAGATATCCCATGTTATTGGTTGCCCCATTGCACAAGGTATCCCATGGTATTGGTTGCCCCATTGCACAAGGGATCACATGGTATTGGTTGCCCCATTGCACAAGGTATCCCATGGTATTGGTTGCCCCATTGCACAAGGTATCCCATGGTATTGTATTCCACACTGCAGCTTAATATTTTGCAGCATAATAGTTGAGTTTCTTATGCCCATGTTGTTATGTGGCAAACAAGATTTAAAACTTTTATGAAATATAAATGAAATTTATGAAAATTAAAAACAAATCATCATGTACCTGTCTTGTATAAATATGTATATGGATCACTTACATGATGGTCCATTGCTAGATTAAGCTGTTATCAGTGTTGCACACGAGGTTAATTAGACTAAAGACGTTTGTATTTATCACATATTTAACTTGATGTTATACTATGGTTGATGCATGGATTTAATTTTTAAACTAAAGTTTTTTAGAGTGCTGTTAAAAATGGGGATTTGGTGGATGTATTGATTTCATTTATAAACAGTAATGTTATTTGGAGTGTTGGTAAAAATGTGAGTTTGTTTGCTGCATTGATTTCATTTATAAATGGTAAAGTTATTAGGAGTGCTGGTAAAAATGGGAGTTTGTTTGCTGCATTGATTTCATTTATAAATGGTAAAGTTATTAGGAGTGCTGGTAAAAATGGGAGTTTGTTTGCTGCATTGATTTCATTTATAAATGGTAAAGTTATTAGGAGTGCTGATAAAAATGGGAGTTTGTTTGCTGCATTGATTTCATTTATAAATGGTAAAGTTATTAGGAGTGCTGGTAAAAATGGGAGTTTGTTTGCTGCATTGATTTCATTTATAAATGGTAAAGTTATTAGGAGTGCTGATAAAAATGGGAGTTTGTTTGCTGCATTGATTTCATTTATAAATGGTAAAGTTTTTAGGAGTGCTGATAAAAATGGGAGTTTTATATATTAACATTTAATCAAGAATCATAATATAATCATTGTCTTTTTATTACTGCATGTCATTCTCAGATTTTTGTATTGGTTTTGTGTTTAATGTGTTGACAAACTATTACTAATACTCCCAGATACTGAGATCTTTGCCCAAGCAAGCCTGCCCAGTATTTACATCATATTGATGCAATCACAGTTGCATTAGGCAGGACATATAATTCATATGCCAGACCACTTCCCAAAATATTCTTTTATGGCAAGCTTGTACAAGGTAAATGCAGTAAAGGAAGCCAAAGAAAATGATGTAAGGACACCCTGAAGACGTCATTAGCTATGACATGTGGGAGCAGACTCTGCAGGACAATGTCGTGTGGCACTCTTCTATCACTAAAGGTGCTGCTGATTGCAAGGCCAACAGGATAGCCATGGCAGAACAGCTGAGGCAGGCCAGGAAGTCCTGAGCCAGTAACCCCACGATCAGCATTGCTACTATTGCATGTCCACAGAACATTCAGGGCATATAATGGACTCATTGGCCACTTTTGCACCCAAAGACCATTTTTTTCCCACTAAACACTGGATAACTGAAGTGATTCTCATCGACTTGATAGACAAACATCAAAATTTCTATATTTTGCATATACAGTTAAGTGTATGAAGAAAAATGTTAGTATAATTCTATACTTTTGATGTATAGAGGACATCCAGAAATAAAGTAAAAAATAAGTCATCACAAAATGATGCACCCTCACTGTAATTCACTTCAGTGTAACACATACATTGATATTGCACTGGTGTGACCATGGATTTCATTACATTGGTAGAATTGTGTTTTTATTTTTTTCCTACATTTTGATTTCTCTATGATAAGCCTCATCCCTTTGGTAGTCTCAGCAAGCTGATAATTGTCTCATGCAGACCAAATCTAGGCTCATTTAAGTACATGCAGCATGTCAGCAACAACTATACAGTCATGTGCTAGTTGTGAGATTAGTTAATTGTTTAGTGACACGTTTTTTTGACTGTGTGATGTAGGTTAAACAGGGACTAACATTTTTTTTTATCTTATGGGGTGTGACTGATACATGATTTTCTGACAATGTGACCTGTACTTGAATTCATGGATTTTTTTATATACATATACAGTACCTAAGAAATTATGGATTGTACAATACAGATGTAAGTTGTCAATATACAAGTGTATTTCAGACTAATTTTATCTTCATTTCACCTGTATGCGAAGTTTGATGCCCCCCCCACTGATCTTTATGTCAGTTTATGTAGACAACATTACTTGGCAGAGACGATACAGATATAAATGGGTTTGTTCTACAGTTGATAAATACACGGTAGATTCCATGCCGACATGTTGAGAATTAGTCTGCATTTTCAATATCGTGGATTATTTCATTAAATTCTGTGCTGTGATAGTAAGTATATTTTAATTTCACTGGATTTGATTTGATTTGCCATTCTTGGAATGATCTTATTTGTCTGTGTGGACCTCATATTATTATTTTAAGAATGCCTGGACTTAGTGTTTATAATCCTTTGTGGGAAGAAGCTGTTGACTTTAAAGCCTGGATAGTCTTACAAAATCAGGATAAAAACTTCATGTTGGATATGCAGGCAAGAATTTTGATATTTCCAACTAAGTTTTTTTTAGCAGTTAATTATTGTATGAAATTGTTGAAACACATTGAAGCTTTATCAAGATCAGATTCCAATATATCAATTATTTCAACATTTGCTTTGAAAGTTTTTATTTCTTGGTTTCACCCTGAATACAACCTTATACGTCAATAAACTTGTCACATTGTTGAGTTTGGAAATAATTATTTTTTGTGGCAGGAATCCTTCATATGCTAATGTAACCAAACCAGTAATATAACCTAAGAAGGACATTAAGTTGATTTGATTTTGTTTTTTTTATCCAGAATAAAATATTGGCATTTTATTTTTGTGTATATTCAAACTAAACCCATTTTTTGAAGTCCTCACAGTTGCAGATGGCATCCCCAACATTCATCGTTTAGCCCGGTTTTTCTTCAGTTTCTACTAAAAACTTCGCTCACGGGTTATCTATACCATTCCGTGAGGGAGTTTTGCAACACTGCCAATACAGTAACCACAGAAAAAAATCAACCAAAATTAATCACTAACAGCAGACAGTCCCTCTAGGCAAAACATGTTTGTAAATAAAAATTTAATTTGATCTAATTTCTGTTGTGTATTTTTCACATCAGTAAAATTTATCAGTTTTGTTTAAAAAAGGATTTTGTTTGGCTTTTTACATTTTGTTGATGATATATCTAGAATGGCATGAAGGAATACATTTTTAAGGGTTTTTTTTTCTTGTGATTCCCTCCATGTTGGCTAAATTGGCAGAATTTACGGTATTAATTATTTTGAATTGGACAGCTTATTGCACTTCTTCTGGCGTAACTTTTTACTTTTCATATTAAAGGCTGCTTTTGTTGATTGTGATCAGAAAGATCAGTTTTGTCTTAATTCTAGTATTTAACTATGTGATCTTTCTTATTAACACTTTGTGAAATAGTCACAAAATTTAGTGGAGCTTAAGTGTGATACTTACTGAAACAACATAAATTAGGATTGTTTGCCATGTTCATTTCATTGTTCAGTATTTTAGTGTGATAAACCTTTGGTCCAATAATTTCATTCTCAGTTCTAGAATAATTTGAATTTAAAATACAGTAGGTGTTTTTGCACATTTTTTTAATCTTATTGTCAGGCATGGTGGCATTTGTTTTTGGCAGAGATATATTTTATGCTATTTGTATGATATGTCAAATCATTAAAGCCCACTGTGTCTGGAAGAAGTCCAGTCCAGTTACTGTTGTAGCTGTTTTCTTGATTGGTATTGTAATGTATATTTAGGGTGTCATTTGTATACACACTATATCTCCTGACAGGTAGTGTAACATTGTTTTGAGGTGTAGTTTGTTTATCCTCTCAAAAAGATATGTTGTGATTATGATTTTTAATTTAGCTTTAACAATTTTTGAGTCATATCGCTACGATGTCTGCAGTGTGGCAGTTTATAGTGATATCTAGCACTGTTGCATCATGCCGCAGACATGTAGCATGATTTCCCACCCAGTCACATTATACAGACACCAGGCCGACCAGTCCTAACACTAACCTAATGCTGAGCATCAAGCGAGTCAGCTATTAGTACCATTTTTGTAAGTTTTTGGTATGACTCAAACAGGGATCGAACCCACGACCTCCCACATCCGAGGTGGACACTCTAACCACTAGGCCACCGGAGCAGTTGAGATATGTTGTAAATTCACTATATTTTTGTGCGTTACAAATTTTAATTAGTTTCATGGTTGTTAGAAACCCTGAATTTAAAGGTCTAATGAATGTTGATGCTTTAGTGAAACAAAAATATAGGATCAAATCCCTGTCTTAGAATTAAAGAACAGACTGAAATGTCAAACCCATGAAAACTGGAACCGACAGCAAGATAAAATACCATATATACTGCTACAATAGCTAAATCCCAAAAGCAGGTTGAAAAGAAAATGTGCCAGCAGGTGAGGTTCTGTGATGTTTGTTAAGAGTAATTAATAGTAACAATAACAGAGACCCTGATCTGCCAGTATGGTGGAAGATCAGGGTGTCATGTTGTTTGCAGTTGAACCCAACTTATAAGCAAGTCTATTTAGTACTTTATTTTGGACACAAAATAAATAAAATACATTTTTGTTAACCAGTACTGTCATATCAGTTACCTCCCCTGATTAAAAGCCATTTTAATTTCCCTCTAGCACATTTCTTACACCAGTGTGTAATGGTAATCGGCCTTCTTTAGTCAGCCAGGTGTATCTTTACCAATAGTGGAGTATATTAAGTGTCATTCTCTTAGTATGCAAATTAATTTTTGTTCAATGAGCAAGGAATTGTTTAGTACAGGCATATTGTGTGAATTAATGTTTAAACATTTCGCATCTCACTTGTCCTCCAGTCATACTGTCATTTTGTCAGGTTTGAAAACAAGATCGTTTTTATCCTGACAGGATAGGGTCACTTTGTTTGTTCGATAGTGGAAAAAGTTGTTGTGAAGTTGCAGCAGAGTTCAGCATCGGACACATTCAGGACATACTCAGATCCATGGGTTTATTGAGCATAGGCAAGACCAGTTTCGAGATTAAAGTTAATAATTTAGAAGAGATGCAGATTACGTCCATTTTAGAAAAATATCAGGGATTTTTCAGTATTTAAAACCTGTCGGTAAAGGAAAGCATTGTTTTGGATCATAGGTTTACAAAAATAGGACTTCTTTTGATTTGCTTTTCATCCCAGGCCATTTACATAAGCGAACTGTCCTTTGATCTCTTGAGTAACAGGGTAGGAAGCATGAACTGCTATTTCAAAGTTTAACAAGTTGGAAGACATAAGATTCATCTGTTTTTACTGTCATATGTAAGCTGTCAATAGTGAAATTAGTGTTTTGTCTTGGTGCACAAATCTAAGGTCAGTGATTATTTCATTGAATGATGGATCAAAATGAGCAGATTACAGTAATCTTGTGTAGAACATAAATATGGAAGAGCAAGAACTTAGTGTTTTTATCTAAATGAATTTAAATATTATTCCCAATAATATTTTGTTTTAACTGCCTACATAGAAGACACATTTTCTTATTAATTTTTCAAAACATTAAATATATTTTTTTCCAGTTATTTAGAAGCATAGCTTATTTAAGTTCAATTAACTATTTTAACTGATTAGATTTTAATTTTTTTATACAGTTACCTAATGTTGACCATCAATGAATTGATTATTATTTCCAACTGAATTTATTCCTGTGCCATCACATTTGCACCCAGTCATCTTTTTGACTATGGGGGCCTTTCAAAAAAAGCTAATTCAGCAATGATATTTAAGATTACTTCTTGTGTTCATGGTTTTAATAGGTTTTTTTTTTTTACAATGTTATGCTATCTTGACATTTTATTATATATTCATATTCTTAATTAGTATGATAAAAACAAGATCCCCTTAACAGAAGAAAAAAAACTACAAATATAAAAAAAAAATTGAAAATTTCTTTCTTACTCAAATCTATTCATAATTTGTTTTATGACACACAAAGATCATTCCAGTGGTCTAGTAGTTAGAGCCTCTGCCTTGGATGCAGGAGGTTGTGGGTTCAAACACTGGCCAAGTCATACCAAAGACTTTAAAAATGGTATTAACAGCTGCCTCACTTAGCGCTCAGCATTAGGAGGTTCTGTGTTAGGACTGGTCAGCCTGGTGTCAGGATAATGTGACTGTATGGGAAATTATGCTACATGTCTGAGGCATGATGCCCCATTGCTAGACATCACTATAAACTGTCACACTGCAGACATCATAGTGATATGACTGAAATTTTTTTAAAGTTATGTTAAAAATCAAAATCACACACACATACACATGACACTCATAAATAATTCAGGTTGGATTACATGAAAATGATTGAGGTCATAATGCACATTGTTATAGATAATACATACTGCTTGATAGCAATATATATATATATATATATATATATATATATATATATATATATATATATATAAGTACATTTATTACCTCATGTCCTTAGAAGATGTGATAATTAAAGCATGTTGGAACTAATTCAATTTTCATGAAAAATTGCTAACATGGCATGGAAATCACAAAACTGAGCTCTATTTCAAGATTGAGTTACTAGCCAATCAGTAAAATCTATATCTGTGGTTGGTCAATACAACATCTCAAACTCACAAGCTTTATGACTTTCAGTCCTCATTTTAGAGCACATTATGTCACAGGAAATCTAATTACATTATGTGATCAAAGATCAAATCACGTGCCATGAGATCTGATCACATGCAACATGAGATCAAATAATGTGACAGATCTGATCACATGTAACAGAAGATCTGATCACATTATGTGACAGGAAATCACATGTGACAGGCAATTTAATCAAAATTTGCCTAATTCTAGAATGTTTTAAAGTTGGGCCTTTGGTTTTTAATGCACTTTCAGTACATTACTGGCTATATCAATGTGAGTAAATGCGAGTCAAATGACATAATGGGTGTATGATAATCTAGATAAATATGGTATATTATAAAAGTACTGCTCAATGAAAAATAGGTCTGCACAATGTAATAACCTGGGCAAGTCATTCACTATAATAAAATACCCCAGTATAACCTGGGCAAGTCGTTCACTGTAAAATACCCCAGTATAACATGGGCATGTCCTTCACTATAAAATACCCAAGTATAACCTGGGCAGATCCTTCACTATAAAATACCCAAGTATAAAATGGGCAGGTCTTTCGCTATAAAATACCCCAGTATAACCTGGGCAAGTCGTTCACAATAAAATACCCCAGTAAAACATGGGCAAGTCATTCACTATAAAATACCCCATTATAAGATGGGGTTTGATCACGAGTCACATTATACTGGTGTTGAATGATACTTTTAAATATAAGGTGACCTCCCCCTCTATCATGGTACTCATTAATGATTCCCATGTCCAGCAGTACAATTAGAGACTAGTGTATTAACTTCAGACCATTGTATGAACATATGTGTATATTTGTGTATGTGTGTGTTTGTTTGAGACAAAATATAAACAATATATCGCAATCATGAACAAAACTTTTATTACAAGTTGTGTATGCACAGAGTAATCTAAATCAGTCTGAGCATTTGATGCATGTGTAACTTAGATGTACTGTGCAGTCCAAGATTGGCATATAGGTCTAGCTGACTACCCTATATCTGGGACAGTCCATTTTTTGTTTCATATAAATTATATAAAGACTTCTGGAAAAACAATATTTTTGATGATGGTAATTAAACTTTTAACTTTAAAAAAGAAAGTTTACCTTAGTATATGCAAGAAAATTGGGTTTTAGCAACAGATAACTGGCAACCTGTTGTGAGGATTTTGTAATTGATGTCAAATGGCAATAAGATTATGCTGAAAAGTAACAAATGGCTACATTTGGTGGGAATGATGACAAGATGTTTTTCTGTATTCAAATATTTGCTGTGTATTACCTCTCACATAAAATTTACCATTTGTTCATTAAAAATTACTTGTTTCGAGATAATCTCGTTTTTGGATTTTAAATCGATCAGTCCAATAGCATTGTTTTTCATTTGTGCAGTACCATATCAGATCTATGTTGACCTGTTGTGAGGACTTTGTGGTTGTGAGACATTGTTAAAGTTGATGTCAAATGGTGTATTAAGATTGTATTGAAGCATGTTAGTACTGTTTTATGTTTCCTTGGAATATTTCATTACTATTTACTTTTGCACACTTAAAATTGACTCTTACACATATGTAGTATCTGGATCTCATATTTCTTTAAATTTCTGCTGTCTGCTTTGTGAAGCTTTCATAAAATAAAATATCTTTGGACAGGCTTCCTTTTAAATTTTAAAGTTACATGAGGTCTGTATATATGCTGCTGAGTTTAAATTTAAGTTCTTTAAATTGTGTTGGTTAATGCTCAGCCAATTGGGTTATGTTAGCTGCCAGTTGCTTCCTGCTGCCAGTCGCTTCCCATGGGTAGTTGGTTTTTCCAGTGTTTATCCAGTTTCTTCCTCCTCCAGTTATGCTGGCCACAATGTAACCTGAGAAATGGCATTAAACCCAACACAACATTTGATAGCAAGGAGATTCACACAGAAGCTTCTTCCCCAAACACACTCAAGTTGGTAGCACATTGCAATTGTTATGCAAAGGTTGTAGGATCAAATCCCAACCAGCCCAAACTGACTGCACATGCCCTTGGGAAATGCACGGATCTCCCATTACTTTACATAAAATAGCCAATAATGCGTTAAAAACCAAGAAACATAAAAACCTTGCTGTAATCTAATTATTTCATTTCTTTATATCATTTTTTAAAAAGTTCATAAGCCTGCTCTGGTAGAAGCGTGACATAGAAATAAATTGTGTCCATTTGCATATATCCATACATCTGCACACACACTAAATTGACACACATTCACAAATATTTAGATTAGGCTTAATGTTTACTTTTTAGATAGAAGTAGGCTTATGTCTGGTAAGGAAAATAAAGGAAAAAAGAGTCTAGTAGTTTAATAGTCTGAGAAGAATTTGTCTAGTCATCAACTGCTTGTATCGGTAACAAGTTTTATTCAATAACAATGTTGCTTTTAGAGTAACAAACTATCTCATAATGAGGTCACTGTGATATGCTTTTTATGCCCCTGTGGCTTTAGTTTTTTAGAAACGGTTG